TATATATATATATCAAAGTAACGATAAAAAAAATTTAGGATTGATCACTAGAGTTCACTCAAACAATGTATAGAGACATGTAAACGAGGTTAATACTTGGGGGGAAATCTCACCAAGAGTGGAGACCAAAGGGTGAGGTTAGTATAGAGGAGGATGTTGAAGGCCCTTTAGAATAGAAATTTATATTTCAACGACTAAAATATCCTCGTTAGAAGGATAAGTGAGCATTGCAATTGACAAGTGCAAAGGCCACCACCTAAGCAATCCTTTAATAAGAAATAGTGTCTCAAAGTACCTAATAATTCATGAAGTTATTGAAATGTCTAATAGAAATTAGGCATTTCCTTTGGTGCAAGTTTATTTTAGGGGGCACCAAAACCTTCTGTGACAAGGACCACATAAAAGACGACATGTGTTTATTTTGTCAGAACTTGTATTTTTTAACAATGTTTTAATATTTGCTATTTAACTCTCATTAATTATATCTTTTTAAATAATAGTCGTCAGTCTATTTAAATATGTTTTATCTTCTTTGTTTCCCTACCTTTTCATTTTCATTTTTGAATCTTCTCTGTTGCACATCTCTGTGGCTCCGGTGCTCTCCCTACCAAAAGCTCCATCAAAGACGGTAACTTTCCGTGTACCCTCCGTTCCTCCCCTTTTCCTTTTCATTTTTCCTCTTCTCTCTGTCGCATCTTCTTGCAAGCACCTCTAATATTTTGTTGTTTTTTTTTTCCGATGACCTCCCATTCTCCGGTCTCCGGTGATCGAAAACCTACTCTCCCTACCAAAAGGTCCATCAAAGACGGTATCTTCACCGTTTTCCCTCCCTTACACATACGACATTTCGTTAGTCATTTTCTTTGTATTACTGTGTTTGCTTCATTTTTATGATCTTCATCTTCCAAATTAGGTTTGTGCTTTATTTGTATGAGGTTACTCTTTGAAAGGGGATTTCTTTTGAAGTTTGTTTTAAAGTATGAAATGCATGTTTATTTTAGTAAAAGGTTTTAGGGTTTCAACTGAGGTTCGGATTTCGTTCTTTAGTTTGTCAGTGTTTTGGTGTTTTGGGGTTTTGCAACCCCATTTGAAGGGGTTTTGTGTATTTATCGTTGTGTTCGTCATTTTGGATATGTCAATTTTGGTGGTGTGTTTATTGATCCTATTTGTGAATTAATGTTGAGGGTTTTATTTGTGAATGTGGTGTTTCAATCTCAGTGAGCATGGAAGCATTTAATAGATCTATTTCCGTTTTGCTGGTATTTTTTTTAGTTGTTTACAAAAATGTACATTGTTACCTATGTGGTTCATTCGTTTGTTGTTTTTCAATTGATTCTATTGTTTAAGTGTATTTAGTGTTTTTCATGGTTAGGAGATTTCATTTGGAGTTTTGTTTGTTTACATGGTTATATGTGATTTATCTTTTTTATTTGTGAATCTCATAGGTGAATTTGGTGATATAGTTTTGTTGAATTTGTTTATGTTTAACTTAGTTATGCTTTTGTGAAATGCATCACTTAATTTATGAATTATTTTTTTGTTGTTTTACTTTCTGATTAATAGTTTTCAGTTGCTGAATTGCATTTTTTTTAGGAACATGGTTGAATGTGCATCTTCAGAAAGTAGCAGGGTTACATTATCACCAAATAGAAAGATGAGAAACTGTTTTTGTGGAGTTCCTTGTAAGGTTCAAATGTCAAGCACTTCTAAGAACTTTGGTAGAAATTTTTTTGGATGTGGAAATTATGATGGATATAACAAGCATTGCCAGTTTTTCTTGTGGTGCAACCTAGTTGATGAAGTTTATGAGAATGAAAATTTGCTTTCAGTAGTTGCAGCTAAAATGAGTGAGATCGAAGAATTGAAGGGGATAGTTGATAAATTGAATAGAGACACTGAAATAGAGTCTTTGAAGGACATAGTTGATGAAATGAATAGTAAATTAAGTGTTCTTAGTAGTAAGGTTGAAATGATTAATGAAGATTTGATGGCAGCGTGTAATACTATTGATTCTCACGTTGTAGATTATAGGAAAATGAAGTTTGTGATATTGGCATTCATTGTGTTTATTGTAGCCAAAGTGATGTATTTTTGATGTTGTTAAATTTAATTTATAAGGTGATTGATTAATGAATTATTGTTTTTTTGCAAGTTTATTTTTTCTTTTTGTTATAAATTTATGTAAGTTTAGGGTTAAATTTATTTAATTTTGACAAAAAATAAGAGATTTGAATGCATTTGTTACATAATATTATTTTTGTTCCACTAAGTTGTCTGTCATATGTAAACAAAATTTTTTTGTAAATTTTTTTGATAAATGTATAAACTAGGCAAACTATAAATGAATAGTTTAATGTTTTTTTCGTTTTTAAATTGTAATGTAGATTTGTACATAAATATTTTTTAAAAATTTTCTGTAACAAATGAAAAGTTTAAATTTTATTGTACATTTGTACATGTTTGGAAAAATTGAATAAAGCTAAGACATGAATACATATAATGTCACATAGTAATAATTACAAAAAAATGATTTTTTTAACACAATGGCCCATGAAAATTGTAACATGATATATCTTATGTGACAATTTACTCATTATTACTATATATAAAAGCCTAGACATATTTTTAAAAACATCAGTAACCAATGATCATATAAATTAAAAAATAATACTGTAAAAAAATCAAGTTGATTTAAATTACGCAATAAGTTAAGTAGATTGTATAAATCGCGTGAAATTGTCATGATTGTTAATTGGGATACAGATAAAAAAACAAGAATGTCATCATACAGAAGCACTTAAATGAAGTTAACAGTTATAAAACAAGCATAAAATGAAAAGGCCAAGTCAAGCTTTGTTAACAGGGAGGATCAGGAAGTTCAAGTTTTAAACCTTTTCAATCTTAAGTCGTATGCCTGTGTTGTATCGTTGACCTTTAATAAGTTGCCCCCATTCCTTCCCAACATAAAACTTCCTTTTGTTTCGCCGTGTTGACGGTTTTTTAATGTCAGCTTTAACCATATCTCCATCTTCGTTGATTAAGACACAAAAATTGTATTTGTCTATGCCCCAAACATCAAAGTATTTGACCAGAAAATACTGAAAATAATAATGAAAGTCAATTATTTACATCATTATGTATATTAATTTTTGAAATAAAATATTTTGTTAATTAAAAAACAATAATGTAATTCCATACCAAAGGTTGTCTTCCAGTTGCTGTAGATTTTGTTATAATGTGAAACCAAGGAACATGATGTTCTGGCATATGATCTGTTGGAAAAGGCAATTGTAGTTGTTGTTGTTCTGGTGGTGGTGAATCAACCTCCGTTAAATCTACAATCTCATTGTCAGGATAGAGAAGTGGGACATTAACCTTGCTGAAAAAATTAAAAGTGCAGATTAATAAATAAATAAATAAATAATTAACAAATTAAAGTTAATGAAATACAGCTTTGCAATTATATGTACCTTTTAGAAGTCTGGCCAATTTCGTTTTTAATTTTAGGATAGGATATTTCTTCTTCAGCAGCAGTAAAGATACGCAAGTTAAATTTGTTTGACCCCTTGTACTAGAACTCAGCAATATGTTTGTTTTTTATACCATAAAAATCTATCATTTCATTTATCCATTTGTTAAACATACCAACAGTTTTACATAAATTTTTCAGGTAAACCTTGAAGGAGTTTCCTTGTGGGTCTGTAATGAGAC